GTTCAATCCTGTTTTTGCTGGTTTTGATAGAATGTGATTCAAGACGTACTGTGTAGGCCTTGTCGGGATTTCCAGTATCAACGTGGGCCATGGAGAAAGCTCTAACTGGGTTGAAACTTACTGAGAGTAGAAGGGATTGTTCAATCCTGGTTTTTGCTGGTTTTGATAGAATGTGGTTCAAGATGTACTGTGTAAGCCTTGTCGGGATTTCCAGTATCAGCGTGGACCACGAAGAAAGCTCTAACTGGGTTGAAACGTATTGAGACGTGGAAGGGATTGTTCAATCCTGTTTTTACTTGCTTATTTTTCGATTTCCCATAAGGTTTTCTTTCAATTTCCTCGTTTTACTGAACAATTTCACTGAATTTATGTATGATTTTGTAAGTGCCGCAGTGCATTACCAACATATAAAAAAGGGGCTTTCCTAACATATTACGCATTCCTCAGTTTGTATTACTGATAAGTCTGTCCAACTGTTGAAGAGAGTAACTTGTCTGTTAGTAGAGCAAAATTTTATTCAAAATTAAATTAAGAGCTCTAAAGCTCAACCATACTCAAACGTGAATGGGTTCATTTGATAGTAAACCTACTGATTCTTGGTTTACGTTGAATTTTAAACATATGGAACCGCTTTTTTCCAAAACTAGCCATTTCTTACGATTTTAATTGGATGTTCCAGATTTAATCTATGTATATTATCAATCCGTATGCATTTGTTAATATATCTAAAGAAATTGTGCAGCATTTCTCTTAAGAGAGATGATCCTTTAAGAAATAAAAATACGTAAGCACATGAGTATACGCGTGCTTTATTTTCATGATACATGGTACAGAAAAAAGTGTTTTTTCAGACATAAAATCCTGGGGCAACATACAAGGCTAATTACAAGTCTCTAAGGTATTGTACAGGGCCATTCCAGCTGTCCGGAGCAAGAAATATTCTAAGGTTGAAATCTCTAAAATAGAAATTTCAGGTACATCCGTACAGAAACTAACCATCCGCCCTGCGCTACATACGTGGCTCCATCCCTTGATAGGGATTAGAAGTTAATTTACAGTTCCTATGAGATAAAAAAAAGTAAACTTTCTTCGTAGTTGAAGCCTCAAATAAAACCATTTTGTAAATACAAAGTACAGGGCACAGAAGCTGGTGAACAAATAGCTTAATTTTTGCTCACATTGAAAAACGATATAATATAATTATATTAATGCGTATATATGTGCGTCTACATATGCGTTGTAGGATACACGTACTTGATTGCTACAATAACTTAAATTCTAATGTTTAGACCTAAGACGTGACCTGTATATGTTTTGTGGATCACGTATATCTATAGTGTAAAGTTCACGTACATAAGGAATGGATTATGTTCAGTTTCTAGATAGATAATTTACTGTGAGTAATGCGATCTAGAATTATCTTGGGGAAATGAGTATATACAAGTAACATAGTAGCTAAAATTTATTCTGAAGGTACAGACCTTCGTTTTAATTGAATTATCTGTTTCTTTAGTTCAAAAGCTTATGTTTTGTTGGACTTGTATTGGTGTGTAGATTAGAAGGGGATTATCTAGTTTAAAGGCTTACGTTTTGTTGGACGTGTACTGATGTGTAGATTAGAAGTTGGTTATGTAGTTTAAAGGCTTACGTTTTGTTGGACATATTTCACTACAACCCCCTTCTAATCTACACATGAGTATAAGTCAAATAAAATATAGGCCTTTAAACTACATAACCAACTTCTAATCTACACATCAGTACAAGTCCAACAAGACGTAAGCCTTTAAACTAGATAACCCATCTAATCTACACATCAGTACTAGAAACGTAAAACAACGTTTTATATCACGAGAAACAGACAGCTGGGTACGATGAAATATTCCAATGTGAAATTTGAACAACAAAAAAAGTAAATATGAATCTAAAAAGAAATTATAATTTTCAAGAGCGATGATTTTTCTTAAGAAAACGATTGGTAATAAAAAAAATGAAAAAGACAACTTAATCTATCAGTTATAAAAGGGCTTGGCTGTAATGAGGCTTGTACAGATGTCTAGAAAAATGTACTTATATGTAAATGATATTGGGTCGGTATCCACTGTCAACAGATGGTTAAAAATGACTGAATATTCCTCGTTTAAGACATCTTGTATTGTAAGAAAATGTGTTACTAAAATACGAGTTTTAACTGGTCTATGCTGTATCAGGATCTGCACAGGAAAGGATTATATACACAGATGATTAGGAAAAAACACGTGAAATTATCCAAGAGAGCTCAAAAAAGAAGAAAAAAAAAGATAACGTTATAACTCCAATATTGTAATGGTTTAAATGACCTTTCAGCTGATATCAGATGTAACGTGACCAGTTTACCTTGAAAGGTTACACAGGGGATAATAATTTGCACGTTTCAAATATAGTGTAATTCTTAACTACTCCACTGAATACCTGGAAATGTTTTTTGTTTTTTTTTATTGTTGTTGTTGTTCACAAGCATTGGTTCTCTTCTGGTTTAGATATAATATTCTTGTGTAGGACTTCACCCCAATGCGTAGTAATGAGTAAGAGGTTATAAGGATATGTTATCGAGCCAGCTAGCAATAATCTCGAAATTCTTGTTCATCCAATGAACATTAGCACGGGCCTTTTCGATCGCTTGCTTGAACGACCGGTGCGCCGTTCCCAACTTGTCCTTATGGTTTTCGTAAAACTTCACCAGCTGGAATAATAAAAAAAAAAAAGAAATTATGTTACGTTATCCTAGTAAAAGACTAAAACAACAGTTCTTCCAAAGGATATATCAGTCTCATTCAGCTTATAATAAGTCTTTATCATGTTTAACGCTGTTGGGACAGTTTGTGCGAGCTTAGATATACCAAGTAAAATATAACTAATAAATAATATCAGTAACTAATTAAAGATTATGTATATATATACTTTCTGCAGATGATATAAAACATACATAAACCAGCACAACTAGTTAATCTGTCGACGTAATCCATTATTGGTTATTTAGTATATATATGTTATATAATAATATCCTTAAGTAAACTCCTAAATCAAGGGCTTTTATAAAATGGAAACGACATCATAGTTTGTCTAACAACATTATCTGGAATAATGTTGAGTTTTATGCAACGAAAAAGAGGTTTAAATGCGCAGATTTGCTACTGAAATTTAACTTTTATTACAGCATATAAACTGTTAAATTTACTTATTTTTTTCAATCATATATGGTTATATAGATAAATATGCCAGATAGAGCGTGTAAAGAAAAGCCAGAATTATGAAGATCCGACAAGACAGACCTGGTGAACGTAGGTCTACTAAAAGTTTTATACCGCACTGCTATCTACACCTACTATTATACATGTCACAAGTTAAATATGGTCAACACATGGGTCTACTAGAAGTTTTATAATACACTGCTACCTACACCTTCTATCATACATGTCACAAGTTGAATATGGTCAACACATGGGTCTACTAGACGTTTTATAATACACTGCTATCTACTACACCTTCTATCATACATCTCACAAGTAGAATATGGTCAACACATTGGTCTACTATAAGTTTTATAATATACTGCTATCGACCCATGTGTTGACCATATTCAACTTGTGACATGTATGATAGAAGGTGTAGATAGCAGTATATTATAAAACTTATAGTAGACCAATGTGTTGACCATATTCTACTTGTGAGATGTATGATAGAAGGTGTAGTAGATAGCAGTGTATTATAAAACGTCTAGTAACTGCTATATACACCTTCTATCATACATGTCACAAGTTGAATATGGTCAACACATGGGTCTACTGGAAGTTTTATAATACACTGCTATATACACCTTCTATCATACATGTCACAAGTTAAATATGGTCAACTCAGGAGTCTACTGGAAGTTTTATACCACACTGCTATCTACACCTTCTATCATACATGTCACAAGTTGAATATGGTCAACTCAGGAGTCTACTGGAACTTTTATACCACACTGCTGTCTACACCTTCTGCCATACATGTCATAAGTTGAACCTGGTCAACACATGGGTCTACTGGAAGTTTTATACCACACTGCTATCTACACCTTCTGCCATACATGTCACAAATTGAACATAATCAACACATGGAAGTCTAATGGAAGACTGAAAATTATTTACAAAAATTATTGATTATATCACAGATTATTTTAAATAAATTAGTTTGAAATATTTAAATGTTATTTTCAACTACCCATCGGTTAAATTACATATTTTATACAAGACTCGTATGGTTGCCAATGTAGGCATTTACTTCATAAGAAGTCTAATTTGCTCACATTGTAATAAATTAAAAGATTTTATCAATTTATGACCGAAGAGAATGACGAATTTCAATTATTTTTTTTTAGATGATGAGTTTCAATTATTTTTTTTCAGGGAGTCACATATATTACCAAATTAAAGTGCAGTGATATTAATCTTTAATCTCGACCAAATATTTTCCATACCAGTCAACTTACTTTTTTTTTTAATGTATAAGCAACAAAAGAAAATAACCTATTAGAATACATCCAATTTTAGGAGCTAATTTGTTAACTATCAAAAACGGGTCACTTGTACTGTCTTTCAAAAACCATGTGCTTGAAATGTTTAGTTTTTTAAATATATAACGAAACTAAAAGACATATAAATTATTGTGTTTGGAAATACTAAAGATGGTTGATAAATGTAGTATATTGATATTTTTTAGCACTCAAGTCACGTTTCTGTCATGGTGATTACGAAAGAAACTTGACTTTCTGTTACTAAAACATTAAACAGATTTATTTGATGGCAACATTGGTACGTTTTGCACTTATCCCTTTTTATTATCATTATTATCTAAATAATTTTTACCCAGGTTGAGCGAATTATGCCGTAAAAAATATCAAATGTAGATAATGTTCTAATGTTGGTAATTAAAGGACTAAAGAATCTTTATGTCTATCTTAACACTACTTCTGTCCGCCATAAATTTAAATCTTACCTGATCTAATTCAAACTGAGTGTTGAGAGAAGACGTAACAGTTTGTACAAGACTTCCAAGGGAAAAAAAAGACTTTCCATAGCTAAAACAAAGATAGAAAACAAATTACTTTACTTTCATTGACCTTGACTACTTTCAACAACATTTCAATTCAAAAAATAGAAGAAATGCGTGTTATTGCAATGGAATTGTCTACAAATGAAGACTGGCAAAATCAGTGATTAAAAGTCAATATCAGAGTCAGTATATTATTGAAATACACGGAAAAATTGAATTGTTTCACAATAATTTCGGGTCAACAAGAGTCAGAAGAAACAAAATGGCGGACGTTTACATTTTGTCCGGAGAGGGTGTTGTTATGTGCAAAAAAAAGTAAGATAATTATAAAAACTCATTTAAGTATGTTTGATCATTTGAAAAAAATTTCATACCAATAGTAATTCTATTGGAATTCTAGATTTTGAAAGGTATTTTTCATAAGGTACTTTATGAGATGTTAAAATATCTATGCAATACGACTTGAGGAGGTATTGTTATTACTTTGTTTTATCCCTGTTATATGTTATATCTTCTTCTTCTTAGTTCCTGTCGTTCCTACAACAACACTTCGCCGACGGAAGTGCTGTTGCAGTTTCCGTAGCACATTGTTATCGGGGTGGAGTCGCTAGCCCCACGGCCAAGTGCGACAAGGACGCGAACCCGCGATCCTCGGATTGCGAGTTGACTTTTATAACTGCAAAGGCATCCCCAGATTAAATTAGATTAATTATATACATTATATAACATATAGGCCCGGCATGGCCCCGTGGATAAGTCACTCGTTATAAAATATCGCTTTGTTGTTGCGCTTATCTTGGTTAATTAACGTTTTTATTTGCAAAAGACATGTGATAGAAAGGTATTTTACTACACTGGTTTGTACTTACATGTCTAATAGAATGTCCCACTTTTCTCTAAGGTAGTTGAACGCTATGTCTCGACCATATATGTTAGAAGCTACAGATCGAAACACGTAAGTTCCATCCTGACGTTTGATTCCGGAACTTTGATTCAGAGACCACTCCAGATACCTGATGTGCGAAAACAGAATTAAGATTTACAGAAACTGAAACAAAGAAATACAACAACTAACTCTTTTGTTTGTTTGTTTCAGAATTTCCCGTGAAGCTATTCAAGGGGCCACCTGCGCATGGTCGTCTCTAATTTTGGAATGATAGAACAGAGGGAAGGCAGCTAGTCAACAGTACTCACCACCATATAACTCTTGGGCTACATTTGTGTGTTTATTTGACCCTCACTTTTGTAGTACACTCACATCCCCAAAATGTGGAGCGAATTTTGGCGGCAATGTGTCACGAACCATCAATCCTCGAACTACAGCTGATACTTAGACTTGTAATTATGAGTTAGGGTTAATGCTTCAAACAAATACAGAGTAAGATATATATTGTAGTTACGATATGAAGGTTCTCAGAGTAAACTACTATTTTATTTGTTTAAACCTCTCTACTGATTGACATAATTATCCATATCTTAGAAATGCTAAAATTTGGAACAAATTACACGTTCTCTAGCGTGTTGTTAAGAATTCAAGATGACATTTTTTTTTAACCACTTGGGTAGTAAAGACAGAAATATTTTGATCGCCAATCAAATCGGTACTAAACCGAATAAAACTAAAATAAGTCTGTACTAAAATCAATTTAGATTGTTCCCAGTGGCACAGCGGGAAATATGCGGATTTACAACGCTAAAAACCGGGTTTCGATACCCGTGGTGGCCAGAGCACAGATTGTCCATTGTGCATCTCTTTAGAATAAAATTTGATTACTCGATAAGTTAAAAAAAATTATTTAAAAAACTTTTGATTTTAACTTGTTAGTAATAAGATAACTTATTTCACAACCTGGTGATGCTAGAGGCATTTCCATTTTAACAAATTATTTCCATGAAAACTAATATATTACCTTGAAAGGAGCCACGGTTCACGTGCGCATGCAAGTGCCCTCATTAATTTGTCTCTTTCCGACGCAACCTCCTCTTCCAAATATCTCTGCCAAGTGAAGTCCCACGCTTCTTGTCCTCCATATTGTATTGCGGTACAGTAGACAACGCTTCTCAAGTTTGGTGGAATGCTGACAGAAAGATGACGTTGTTACGTTTCATATTTTCAATTAGAGTTATGTAAAAAAGAACAAAAAAATGAAAGAATTTTTACAGCTTCATACTAACTACTTAAAAGCATGTCACGTCTGCTAACATCTAAAACGTTTATTTAGCCATGATACCACTAATTCTTCAGAGTTGTAGCTAAAGCCCCAGGCCACATTTGTTAACAACAGGAGTGTTTATGTAGCCATGACACTAAACTAATACTTCAGAATTGTAGCAAAAACTCCAGGCCATATTCATTAACAATTCAAAATTTACCATACGGTATCATAGTGTAGTGATTCGATGACGAGGAACCCACTTTGAGACTAATAATGGCTGGAGACGGCTTAAATGGGTAATGAAGAAAAACTTTAATATAAGTTTAACA